GAATGGTTTGTTTAAAGAGTTTTAGTCAGGTTTCAGAGCCCATCACAGCATTTGTGAACATTACAAATCAGAACTGGGACAGGTGTAGAAACTAAAGGACACCAGCTACTCCAACCCTAAGAATAAGTAGGGGTGCAGAAGAGTGCTGGGTCGGAAACACCCTGGAAGTAGGAACTGGGACCGGTTGAATCCTAGCCACCCTGCTACGGGTGCAGGGAATGGTTGGACCTTAGCCACACTGGGAGCGGGAACAGCAGCAGGGACCAGTTCAAAAACATCACCCTCAACTTCATTTAAGTCAGCCTTGGACAAAAAATTCCCACTCATAACTTTCCCCACTAATTAACAAGGAAAACTGTTTTATCCCAGCTGATCTAGAAAAACATGCTGAGACGAGGCAGTGCTAGCTACTCACAGCTACTCATCTTTCTGTTTCAAGAGAGCATCATACTAAAAACATCATATTGGGCACAGTAAAGGCTCCTAACATGTATCTGGATGCTCCAATATGTAACAATCATGCCTTCAGGCCTGGGCTGGAGGACATCACGTTTGTGACATGGCAGGGAAGAGGGATTTGTTCAAAGATATTTACATTGATGGACATTTTCCATCTTTTCAGCAATTGAGGGTGAAATTTAATCTTCCTAATTCACACTTTTTCAGATTTTTACAGTTGAGACATTTCATCAAAGCATCTATTCCACAATATGATTTGATTCCTCAAAACTTGACAGCTTCGTGTCAGTTGAGCCCTACACTACAGGTGCTGTGTCTCGCCTTACTAGATATATACAGTCCTTGATCAGATACTTTTAGGGAGCAGTGGCAGGAAGAACTGGGGGTGGATGTTACTGATGATCTTTGGCAAGAGTGCATTAAGAATATATATTGTAGTTCTAGAAATGCTAGACATAGTCTGATCCAATTTAAGGTTGTGTATGGGTTGCATTTTTCTCCCACCAAAGTGGAAAAAATATATAAGAACATTTCAGCCAGTCTTAAGTGTTCCAGTGGTCGAGGAACTTTATCTCACCTTTTCTTTCAATGCCAAAAACTACAACTTTTTTGGAATCATCTGTTTTTCTGACCAAAGCCTTTGGCAGGGAGGTCCCATGTTCCCCTTTGCAGCATTGTTTGGGGTGTCTGAACTGGGATGGGCAAGGGACAAGACAGAGACGCAGGTTGTGTCAATGACCACACTTGTGGCCAGAAAGCTGGAAGTCTGATAAACCTCCTACCTTCGAAATGTGGTTGAGAGAATTTGGAAATGTACTCCACCTGAAGAAAATCAGGTTTACCTTGTTTAACCGAGAGAGAGTGTTTTATAAGATTTGGCAACCAGTCATTCGCCTGATGGATAAACCAAAGTGAAATGTACTCTGTTTTAACATTTATGTGTGCTGTATTACCACCTTGTTGACTTGCCGTCCACCTTCTATTGTGTTCTTTTGAAGGTGATTGTTGTATACTGCTCAATTATAAAATCAATAAAAATATATTGAAAAAAACCCAACATATTAATATTTAAACATAAAAAGATTTTTATTTTAATTTCTATTAAATGCAAAGTGTTACATTACATCTGGTGGAGGAGACGTTTTGGTTAAAAACTGTGCA